CCACGTGCCACATGTGGGCCGTGCACGGAGTGATTTTCCGAAACAGAGGCCGCCAAGACGGCCTCTCCGAATCAAGCAGACGTCGATCCCTTGGCGGAGATCTTTCCCAGCAGTTGGGTCGCGCTAGTGCAAGACCCACGAAGCCGATCTCGCTTTGCCTGTCCCTTGTTTGTGTTGACGTTGATCGCACAGTCCCCTCCGCGCGCCCACCCCCTGAGTCCGCGCCTCGCGCTGCCGACACGGCCGAGTCTCGCAAGGTTCGGCTCATGTCTGACCGCAGAAAACGGTCACGCCAGTGGCGTCAAGCCAAACAGTCCGGATGCAGGTCCGGATGGTCGGCAAGAACTTCCATCCTTCCCCGGGTTTCGCCGGCCTAAGACAGACACCCCGGAGCCGAACGTGCAAAAGGATGGATGTTTGGAATCAGTATTCGCCTACATGTCAAATCGGTCACGGATCGGTCACGGAGAAATTGATCACCACCTGGAACAGTTCCCAGGGGGCCTCCGGCCCAGCGTCGTACCGAGGAGATGGATCATCCCCAGCCAAGTGCGAAAACAGGTGCGAGTTACGGTTGTTTTGGTTGAAGCGTCAAGATTGACAACTCCACAAGTTTCGACGTGGGAGCGCAGAGACCAATGCTTGCGGCTCTGTTCCGCCCACTCACTAACCAGGAACGGCCCTTCCGTGAGCCGCGGAGGGGCAAGGAACCCAAGTCCTCCGAATTAACTTTCCAGCCACGACAGGGGAAGCCGCTGTGCCACACATCCCCTGAGTGATGAAGTGAATCAGGCTTACTCAATATGGAAATAATAAACGAAAGGCAGGGGTCTGAAGGTCAACCTTACCTGATCCAGTTAGCCCGTCTGAGTCGAGAGCGAGCTTTGGCCAACCAACGAGGAACTGCCCGCGGACTCGAATCCCCTAACCCTCAACCCGCACTCATCGTTTGAATGAGAACGACTTTTGCTCGCATCCCACGCCGCCAGGCAGGTTGAGCCAGACCTCGGTGGGGTGGTAAACAATTCGCCAAGAATGAGCTTTGTTGTTCTGAACATTCCGGACAATTTTGTGTTGTCAGTCGGGTCACTCTGTAATCCCCATATGATGTCGTAGCGGCCCGGGCATCCGCTGTAAGTACCACATGAGCCCAGACATCGAATCCATCCCGTCTCGTGCCCCGTCCCAAGTCCCATTGATCCGCAGTCCGCGGAGTGCAGAATGTTTGAGTGACAAGTAAGCCTATATTTGGTATATACAAGGGTCCGGCGTGAAACCAGACATCTTAGAGCAAAATTCGCCTGAGCCGAGTTTACGAGTGTCCACTCAATATTCTGGTTGGAGTTGGTTCCGGACCCGCTCTCTCCCTCTTGAGACCTGGGGTTTGGTGTCGAACTCAGATGGCGAGAAGTGGCGTTCCCCGTGCATTTTAGCAGCTCGCTAATCTGCCCAAAACAGAAATGAGGTGAGTCCGTCACAGCCCAGATGGGTAGAGCGTCTGCACTTGGCTGGAAAGCCACTCTCGCGCGTTGCCCATTCTCTCGTAGCCTATCAAGACCGAGGAACTTTGTTTTCCGCCCCTGCAAATACGGGCACAGCAAGTCACGGACGAAGAGAAACCCCCCGCGTTCTTCGGCTCAAGCATGCAACGGCGGAGAACGGTTAACTAAGGCACTCGGGCCCGTCGGCGATGCAAAGGCGCCGTCTCCACGACGCTCGCTCCGCTGGAGGAGACTCCCGTTCGCGCCTTGCTCTAAATAGCACCAATCACATCCCACGGTCATTCTCAACAGTGTTCCAGGGTTCAAGCCTCGACGCCTCAAAGACGCCATTCAGTCAAAGCCCGGGGCATCGTTCCGGAAGGTTAATTCCACGCGACCCATTACCGAGTGAAAGCCTCTTATCGCGCCCGTGTTCCAGGCCACGTTTTCGCAACTCTTCGGCAAATACCTGTCTGTAGGTAAGTCAGGGAAGGAGCTTTGACTGTGCAGAACGCATGTTCCAGGCTGCTCTGGCCCACCTGCCTAAAAGTTCCCGGCATCGACCTGAGACCCCTCCCCTCTTCTCTTTTCCACGGCTCGCCTGTCATCACCGCATTCATCCATTCATTATGTCTGGGCTTACCGGAAGGATCCTTCATTTTCGTGAACACTCCTCTCCGACCCCACCAAACATCAACCCTGCTCAACCTGCTTCAACCCGGCTTGGAGGGTTGTGGAGTGCATGATCCAATTAATTTAATCGCTACGCAGGAACCTCCCGGTCGTGTCACCTTGCCAAAAGTCCACGAGCAATGACAAAAAAAAGCACATCAATCGCATCGCTGGTAATTGATCAAGGTTGGTTAACGAGATGAGGTCACATTCCACATGGCTGTCCCGGCGATCGGAAACCAAATCTGTGTGAGCAAGCCCTCCCGTGTATGGGAGCTGTCCGGAAGAGGCAGGTCGTAAACTTGACGAGCCAGGCTTGCAGGGCCCCGGAACCTGTCCCAGCAGAGCGGTTCGGGATCGCCCCCAATGCCGCCCGGCGCCATGGATCGCGAAACTTTTTCCCGACCGCGAGCCAGCACACTTCGAGGTCGTTTGTGAGAAGGGAACGAGCTAGCAAGGTCTTCATGGTCAAGGTCCCGATAACCTGCAGGTTCACCTCCCAACCGAGACGGATACCGACATGCCCCAGACTGTTCGGGGTTGTTGCAGAGGCACGGTAGTTATCGACACGTCCGTCCCCGCATAGCATGCAGATATTGACGGGAACGGAAATTGCCTGATCGAAGAGTGAGAATCACAACTCTCCGATTTGGCCTCGTTGGAAGCGAGACAAGAGACAAGTGGGCATGCGGGATGATCACTCCCACACAACAAGCAAACACCCAGGCCACTTTTCTGGAAACTCGCATCATCGCTCTCCAGCAAAGCGCAAGAAGCAAAGCAGAGAAGCGAGCAAGTCAGACACATGCATGACAACAGGGAAGCTTGGATGAGGCGCGGCGATCCTAGCCGGCATATTGTTCCGAGGATCTGGTCAGCACTATGCGAGACTCGCAGCCACTCGACTTGGCTTACGGTTGAGCCCGTCTCCATCGTACATACCCGACAGGCTGGATGGGCTGGCTCGACTGATGCTGAGCTTGGGCAATTCTCCGGCGGTCAAGCGTGGTGGTGCCTGCGGCGTTCCCTTATCATGTCGGGAGGTCAACAACTTCGAGCCTCAATAGTGCACCGAGCGGCCCTCTCGTCCTCTGTCTTGCTCGCTCGAATGAGATTGGCTCCCAGCATCGTCCCGGCCAGGGTAACATCGACCGTCGTGCATTCTGACACCGCAAGATCGTTCAGCAAAAAAGCACGTCGGGTGACTCGCGAGAATCCTCTCCTCTCCCGTGCCCAGGACCCACGCTAGTGGCCCCCGATCTGGGCCTTGTGCGCAAGTTAACGTTATCGTCCCTGTCCTGCCACATGGGAGGAGACCGGGGAGAGGATGTCCCGGTTGTGATGCTCGTCGACCCCGACCCGTGGCGTGGTGGCTTGCGAGGCACCCACCACCACCGACCCCTCCTCCATCGGGGCGGTCTAGACCGTCCCCTCTATCTTCCCCGTCCTCACATCGCCAGACGCGAAGGGAGCAGCCAGACCGATGAGACGTCGCGCGTGCAGCGGACGGGAACGAAAATGAAACCAAAGGAAAAGACCGAGACTGGACGGCGAAAGTCCCACTCCATCCCAAAGCATCGCATTCAAGTTTTGATGCGCGCATCGCATGCAGGTATCCCGGTACGGATTACATCTCTCCGGTATCCCATGTCGCTCCCCATGTCACTCGCTCAACTCGGTCAGCCAGGGAGGCGCGCGGTAAATCCCGTCCTCCCGGGCCCCCTCCCCATTCCCCCCATCCCAGCCTGCCAGTTGTAACCCTGGTTTTTTCGCATCCGAGGCGGGCGGGCACGGCGGGCCAGCCCAAACAACCCCGCTGGCCAGTCAAACCCCCCTGCCACGTCGGGGACGTCGCCTGCCGAGATGAAATTGGCTGCAGGGTGGTCGCCGACCACTTTACGATTTGTTTTGTGTCAACAAGTCAAAATCTCGAAGAACGATTTTTTCTGTTTTTCTTCGCATCCTTGCGGTAAGATGAGCGACAAGACGGGTCAATCGATCTCCCCGCTTTTATTAGCGGATCGGGAAAAACTCCGACGCCTTTGATTCGTGGAGGTGCATTTCTTTTTTTCAACATTTCCGGGGGGCAGCATCTTCCTTGCGATTGTAAGGTGACGTCTGGATTTCAAGATGACGATGTTGGGAAACGGCGACAGCCATGCCTCCAACCACGCTCGTTGATGTCTTGGACAACCCCACGAAGTTCAAAGTACTTCGGGCAGGGACTAAGAAGAAAGCGCCGTGAAACAAAAGGTCCAGCACATGCTCGTACTTCGTAGGAGAGCCTGCTGTAAAGACGCCACCCCCTTAACACTGCGTAAACCATCTCCATCTCTCATCATGTCCGCCGTTTTGCCCTGAAACTATGCCCTCCACGCCAGCGCGTCAACACGGAGACTGGGCGCTTGATGCCTCGGCGCCTCCCTTCCCTTCCAATAGCCTATCGAAGTGGCGCTTCGGACTGGGAATGAGGCCGGGCGACTAACTATCATGAGCAATCCCTGAAGTTGACTAACGACGTCGTGGGAGAAATTGAGACAGGCAGGTTGACAGCCTTACGTAGCTTACCATGAGCCTGCCCTTTGGACATGACATGACTACATCCAAAACCAACCGACCACCTCTCTGCCGTAAGATATCCTTGGTGCTTATGGGAGGATTCGAGATAGACGGGCTGGCAGCCTTCCACAATTCGACCGCCTGTGTGCACGATGAGCCTGCGTCTCCGGCATGGTATACCCCCTAACCAACCGACTAACCCTCTGTTCCAAGCCACACTTGATGGGCGATAACTGTGGGCCATATGCACTTCCATGACACCAACAGGGTTATGTAGCAGAAAGATTCAGCCGTTGTGAAGACCATTGTATTGCATCATGACATCAACCTCATCCACATAACCAACTAGCATCTACCCCATTGCTATATCAGCATATTTTGGCCCCGCGTTCCATCCAAGCCCCGCGACGGGCAAGACAGGGTGTCCGTTGTTGTTGCCCCCTATTGCAAAGTCGCAGTGCTCTACAACTCACAAGGACGTACACCCAGGGCGGGTGACGGCAAGGACTTGGGTAAGGGGGACCCGCGCAGGGGCAGTGACAGGTTCCTCTCAGATGACAATTCACATCGTGTTACTCTAGTCACACATGCTGAAGATGAAGCCCCAAACGCCATTCGCCGCCCAGACTCAAACAAGCCAACCGTCCTGTTGAACACCAGCCAATGTGAAAACGCCCTGAAAAAGAAGTTAAGAAGCACAACGAGATCGCTCTCAGTTAGCCTCGAACTCCTTCTGCAGGTAGACGCAAGACACCATGGCGTGATCGCGCTCGTACGGCTCTGTAGATATCGTTAGCGGGAATGTCTAAAGCATGAGAATGGATATGACGGCGGGGTTACTCACCAAGAGTCAGCTGCTCCTTAGGGAAGAACTTGTCCTCACGGAGTTTCTGGACTTCGCTGGCGAATACCTGCTCAGGGGGGGCTGGGGAAGGTCAGCGAGTGTCGACTCAAATAGTCTCCATGAAGAACTTACCAGTGCTGTCAATGCAGCTGGCCTTGATAGAGATGAGAAGGCCGCCACCCTGTCTCAGGAACAGCTTCGCGTTGATGCCGACAATTCTGGCCTGATCGGGCTGAGCAACATCGGCAAAGATGACATCGACCATCGGGAGAAGCATCCGGTAAGCCATCGGCTTACGAGCATCCTCAACGATCCTGTTCAAAAGTAAGTTATACTGATGCATTCATAGGCATCGAAACAACGTTGCTTACGGGATAACGTTGGTGCGGCGAGTCTATTCAGTTGTTAGTGTCTTGGATAAGAGCAGTGGATTGAGGGTGGTTCGACATACCGCCATGTTGATGAGATCTCTGCCAGAGCGGTGGGAGAATTCAACGGCCTAGGCGCATCGTTAGCGACCGAGTGTCATGCGTAGGGGTGCCGGCGGCATACGTAGACAGCGCCCGTTGGCCCGACAATATCGGCAACGTGGGAGACGGAGGTACCCGAGGCGGCACCGAGGTAGAGCACCTTCGATCCGGGCTTCATGTAGATCGTCTCCAAGCCACCGAGAATACCAGCGGCAAGCTTACTCCGGCTGTTTCATGTCAGTATGTAGAATATCGGGATGAAGATCGAATCGACTAACAAAGGATTCCAGATCTACAAGACGGTGGTTAGCTTATGCTTCTAAGACCGCAAGCGACCTTGAGCGCATGTGAGGGGTACTTACGCGGTACTCGGTCTTCGTCGCAACAGCATCGTCGCTCTTGTTGGCGTTCTCGACAGAGATTCTCTTCTCGCCGTACACTGACTCGCCGGGAACCAGGTTGGTGGTGGCAAGCAGATCCTCCTTTCCACCGCGGGCAACGAACACGCCCTTGTGACGATGGGGCTCGACGATAACCTTCTTGCCGCCCTTTGCCCCACCCGGGCCACCACCCCGACCACCACGGCCTCCGCCACGGGGGCTAATCCGGTGTGTTAGCAAAACCAAGCGACTATCATGTCGGTAAGGGTATGACATACGCTCCCCGACCACCACCACGGCCGCCGCCGCGTCCTCCAGGGCCACCACGACCACCGCCGAAGCCTAGAGAAGCTTGGTTAGCAAACGTCCCTTATCAGTGTGAGGGGCACGGGCGCGGCGATTGGTGTCGGCCATCCTTCGGAAGGACAAGACCAAGTGACAACTCATCATGGCGCATGTTTAAAGTAAAGAGATGTTCGCGACTTACCACCACGGCCGCCGCCTCTCGCGCCGCCCCGACCACCGCGATCACCACCACCGCGGAAGCCGCCTCCCCTGCCGCCACCTCTTCCACCACGGTCGAAACCCATTGTGATTGTTATGTTCGAAAAACGTTTGTGGAATTGATTTTGATTGTACGCGACGTTGTCGGGTTGATAATGTGCACAAACGGCGCCTTAAGACACAATGGGTGCAGATGCGCGGTCTTGTCGAAGTCGTTCGGGAAGCTTGATGGAGCTGGATGCAAAATTTCCTAAACTTTCAGAAAAAAAAGCGGGGGCTGTTCTTGGCTCCGGCCTTTCGCTCGGCTGGGGATTTCTCCGGCGATCTGAGTGGCCAGTTTTGAAGGGCCTTGGCATATGTTCCTCGCTCTATCAGACTCTGTCATAATCTTGGTGCAGGTTCGCTACCGGCGCTATCACATGACCCCGGTCCGGAGCTGTCCCGCACTGTTGCCTGAGGCAGGAATATGGCCGCACAAGCCAATCAGCCGCAACCCACAGAGCCCTAATCGCGAAAATCGCACTTGCGCCAAAATTTGGAACAACCATCATTCCTGAACTCCAAACTCGGTCGAATCCGCCCTCACGTCGACAAACAGTCAAGATGGTCAGTAGCCCTTGAAAATCCGAATCATCCACGATCGCTCCGAAATCCGATGCACTGGGGAATTTCTCCCGCTCGATTTGCGGGTATTGGAGAGGCCGGATCACGGATCGAGCTGGACATGGTTGAAAAACATACGGGACAAGGCTGACCGGTGCATTGGTGATTTCTAGGTTCGGTACTCCGCGACTGAGATTGCGCCCGCGAAGTCGGCTCGCTCCCGCGGGTCGTACCTCCGGGTTTCGTTCAAGAACACCCGCGAGACCGCTCAGGCGATCAACGGCTGGAAGCTCCAGCGCGCCCAGACCTTCCTCGAGAACGTCTGCGAGAAGAAGGAGGCCGTCCCCATGAGACGCTACTGCGGCTCGATCGGCCGGACCGCCCAAGGTACGATTCGAGAAGACGGAACCCGTTAAGAGCTATGGTTTCGATATGGATTTGGGAGATGGGGCTGCAGAGCGACCGACAGCCGGGGCGAAAATCGTGGAGAATTGGTGAAGGAATTGAGGGATTGTGCTGACTGCTATGGGAAACAGGCAAGCAGTTTGGTGTCACCCGTGCCCGCTGGCCCGTCAAGTCCGCCGAATTCCTCCTGGGTCTCCTCAAGAACGCCGAGTCCAACGCCGACGCGAAGGGCCTTGACACTGGCAACCTGATCGTCAAGCACATCCAGGTCAACCAGGCTCCCAAGCAGCGCCGCCGCACATACCGCGCCCACGGTCGCGTACGTTTTCCGAGCCTCCATGCGTTCTGGCGGGATCCGAGAGACTAACGGCTGCACAGATCAACCCCTACATGTCGAACCCTTGCCACATCGAGCTGATCCTCACCGAGGCCGAGGAGGCGATCCAGAAGTCGGAGGCGGTTGTTCGTGACGAGCACCTTAGCTCGAGGCAGCGCGGTGTCCGCGTCCGCCGGGCTATCGCCGCTGCTTAAGTCGGGGGCTGCTAGTTGACGGGGGCATGGGGGATCTTTTTGACTGGGCTTGACTTTCTTCCGGAACGGTGTACGCGAGCATGGCATTTTTTCGGGTCAAGGCTACGATTCCACAAAAAAGGAGTCGGTCACGAACACTCAATAAAGAAGCATTGAGGACCATAATGGTGCACGCGGAGCCGGATGGGATACATGGGCGCTAAACCGAATATCACTGCTTTGACTCGACTGCCGCCGCGACGCGCCGCTTCGATGATAGAGGAAGATATGCCATTCTAGTCAGTCCAGCCTCGAGCTTGCGCTGGTGAATTGTTCTCCAGACCAATATGTATCAAGAACCACCTGCCCGGCGGCCAGATGGCCAGGGAAAAATTCAGAGGCGGTGATTTCACCTCATGGATCGTCACTCAAAACCCCTCACCCCAATGCAGAGTGTCCCGGGCCCTGTTTTCGCATCGCGCCAGAGATCGTCATGATGCTCATTGATCTTTTGTATTTGGTGCTCGTTCTAGTCGCGGCATAGCAGCGACAGGGAGCCAGTGCTCCTCTGCTACCCGGCCATTTCCACATCCCCGCCTCCCCCACCGCCGCCGGCCCCCTTCTTCCGCTCCTCGGCCCTCCTGAGCATCTTCTGCTTCCCCTGGTCCACCCACCTCTCGTACGCGCCGCCGCCCTCCCCCAGCTTGGCGGCGACGACGCCCTTGAGCACCTCGCCGGCGAAGCCGACAAAGTTGTGGCGGCGCAGCGCGTTCTCGAACTGCCAGTCGCGGCGCCGGCGCTCCTCGCGGGCGAGCATGTCCCGGTCGCCGATCTCGCGCGCGCGCGCCCGCCGGTCGCGCACCATGGCCAGCAGGTTGAAGCGGATCTCGGCGGCGTCGTAGCGGGCGACGCGGCGCTGCAGCACCTCCATGACGCGCGCGGGAAACCCGCCGGGCCCATCACAGGCCCCGTGGCTGATGGGCGCGCGCTGCAGGCCGTCCAGCTCGTACAGGGTGCCGCCGACGGGGGTGTAGGCGACGAAGTGGAAGGCGTCCTCGCCCTCGTCGCCGGCCTGGCGCTGCGTCTCGTCGGCGAAGGGCGACGACCGCGCGAAGCTGTTGTGCGCGTCCCGGATCAGCTCGCTGTTGGACAGCGCCTCGCCCCGGTACTCGGGCGGCAGCGCCATGGTGAACTCGCGGAAGTCGGTCAGCGTCGGCCCGATGTCGATGGCCTCGTCCGCGGGCGTGCCGCCGTCGGCCGTCTTGTTGAGCAGCACGCTGAGCAGCGCCTGCGTGCCGCACGCGTTCTGGATGGTCTGCGCGGCGAAGAAGAGGCGCTCCGCGGCATCTTGGTCGAAGGTGCCGTCCAGCGGCTTGTCGCCGGCGTGGTAGGGCGTGTCGGTGGGGAACTTGAAGAGGAAGATGACGCCGTAGACGGGGTACAGCTGCGCGAGGGCGTCGGGGTCGAGGGAGAGGAGCTCCTCGAACTGCACGTCTTTTACGCCAAGGTTGTCGAGTAGGTAGGTGAAGACGCCCTGAAGCTACTGGTCAGCCAGCAGGCCCTGTGATTGATTCAAGCTGTCCCCCTGTGCGCCATAACTCGCTAGAGCTCAAGGTCGTGTGCTGTGGGAGCAACATACCGCATCGGACTCGACTATGATTCGTTGGTCAGCGGTTCAGCTCGTCGAAATAATGCGACTGAAGCCTACTAGTATTCCAACCACCACTCATCTTGGAGGCTCTGACCGCACTGCAGTCGGTCGCCTGAAATGAGTTTGCCCTTCCTTGAGTTATGCCGCTATGGTGAAAGCGAAGTATCGTACGCTTAGATTGGAAGAAAATGGAAGGTCTCTTTTTTTAAACAGCACAAACAAGGACGGAGCACTGCGTCTGGGCGCAAAGAGTACTTTCACCCACGGCCCGAATTTCAGGGCCGATGATGCAAGTCCCCAGCTGCCTGTCGGGGAGATAAGATAGGTAGGGAAGCAGCAAGCCAAACCCTGAAGCTGTGCCCCTCGCAGCCAGCTGTCCTCAGCTGCATGCCAAGCTCACACCAAAACATCAACAAAAGGGGTTCTCTCTGCGTGTTCACAAGCTCCAAGCTGACTGTTTTACCCGGCGTATCTTACATCTCGCCGTTCTTTGAGCCACTAGTCATGGTTTCAGGGATCCTCAGACAAATCGTCTACAAAATAAAGTGCTAGGTACTCACTATAAAGAGCTAAGCCAAATATACAGACAAATCATCCTCCCAAGCAATGCCAACAGTTCCCAGACCCAAACCCATCCCATCTATCTTTCCTTCATATCAGTGTCATCTCAGCCTCAGTCATTTTAGCTGTTCGGGACTGTACTCAAATAGCACCCCAAACCAGCCTCTTGCTGGGATGCGAGTTCAATTCTTCCCCCTTCACACAGGAGCCCCTCGGCCCTCAGGGTCAATACATCCGACGCATCGGGTCAGGCGTCGGGATTCTCGGCATATGGTCGGACTTTGACGCGGTATCGGACCTATACTGCTCGGTGCTCATGGCATCATCGCAGGAGTTGAGGGAGAACGAGGCGGCTCTGTCCTTCCTGTCCCTAGCCCAATAGATGCATTGGATAAAGGCCCTGGCAATCCACGGCTTCTCTCCGGGAGGCCGCCAAGACCAGTATTCTTTCAGCTCGTAGTTCTCTGGGGTGATGGTCTCCCCGGAAACCTTGACGACAATGTAGATTGCGCCATTTATGACAATGTACGCGAAGAGCCCCCTAAACAAAAGCTCGTTAGCCGATGAGGGTATGGGAAATAAAGTGTGGTTAACTCACGAAAGCAGCCCATAGGCAACACTGAAGCTGAACGGGATGAAGGCCAGGGTAATGAAGGATGGAATGGCGTCGCCAACGTATGCCCAGTTGATCTTGGTGACTTGGCGGATCATCATGCAACCAACCTAGGCCCCCAAGGTTAGGCACTAATTGAACCACAGACATAGGAATTCCCCAGAAAACTCACTAAGATCAGCGTGCTTCCACTCGCCCAGGGGGGGATGGAGGCAAACACCGGGGCAAAGAACAGCGAGAGAAGGAAACAGATGCCAGTGAAAACGGAGGTTAGACCAGTCCGACCTCCCTCGGCAATTCCAGCGCTGCTTTCAATGAAAGCAGTGACTGGGGATAGCCCAAGCAGCGAGCCCATGGAAATGCAGAAGGCATCGACACAAAATGCCATGGTCGACCGGGGGAAGTCCGCCTTGTCCCTCCGAGCTCTGCTGCAGAACCGCGCCATCGAGTACACCGTCGCAGTGCAGTCAATGATATCCACATAGAGAAATGTAAACAGGGCGATCGCAAAATGTGACCCTGACTCCCCCGTCAGATCCCACTGCTGCTGGAACAGCGTGTGGCGAATCGGGTGGAAGTTGACAATCTTGGAGAAGTAGTTGAACCGATGGTCGCCGTCAGGGGTGTTCGGGAAATGTGTCAAGGGTGTGTTGCGCCTGTGAAGAATGTGAGTTGTTGTTGAGCAATTAAAGTCAATAGCTAATGCAATACTCACGGCCATGAGAGAATGGAGACAAAGGCGATGCCAATGATAATGGCTCCCTTGACGCGAAATGCCATCAAAAAGGTGGTGAGCAAACCGCCGCAAATGATGCCGACCCACATCTATAGTAGCATGTTAGTGCCGAACACGCCAGTAAGGGGCAGGGCCTCATACTTTTGGGTTTGTCATGACTCCCGTAGTGCACTCTCCAATCTCGTTGAGATCCTCAAGAGGGCAGCCAGCCATCATGAGCGGTGTGCTAATGCCCCCCGTGACCATGCCGAGACCAGAGGTGTACGACATGCCGACGAGGGTCAAGAACAAGCCGATTCCTACGCCGCTGGCGGTCTTGATGGTTCCGGGTATGATTTTGACCAACCAATGCCGCAAACCTGTCAGGGCCAGAAACACAAAGATCCAGCCCTCGATAAAGACAGCAGTGAGAGCCACCCGATAGTTTACCGAGCCCATACCCTTGACACCCACAACCTGGTAGGTAAAGTAAGCATTGAGACCCATGCCAGGGCTATGACTGTTAGTGGAATTCCGTTGCAAGGTTTGCAATCCCTAACTTACCCAAGGGCAACGGGGAGGTTTGTGAAGATGCCGAAGAGGATGCTGGAGAAACCGGTTACGGCAATGGTGGCAGTGATCAGGTCGAGTTTGACATCTAATTCTCCTATGAGCGGTCCGTGCTAAACAGTGTCCCAGAAAGATGGTCAACTAACCGTTATAACATTTGGTCCATTCCGACATGTTGGCGCAGTTGCCTTTCAGATCGAATGGCTTTTCACAGTGGCAATCGTAACCCGACTCGGCGAGGATGAATGCCTATGGAGGTTAGTCAGGCAATTCGAGTGAGAGAGACGCAGTACCGAGAGAAAGTCATACATTTACGGCAATGACATATGCCATGGTTGTGAAAGTCGTAATGCCCTGGTCAAGCAGCGTCAGTCACATGTATATCCAGAGCGTTTAGGGGCCCCGTAGTGGTCCCAATACAACTGGGAATGGCCTAACAAGTGCCTGGGATAACCTACTGCGCGGACTTCGGTCAAAAAGTATGCATCCTCAATTTCCTTGGGCTTTGATAGTGGGTATGTCAGGGGTTTCTTTCGGTTCAGCTGAGGGAGGGGGGTTGCCACTTACATGACCGCTTCCTTTGAGTCGAAACAACTGGCCAACGAATGACTTGCTCACACCATCGTCCATGCGTCGGGTGAGATGTGAGATGTGATTTCTCTTTCGCTTGAACCAGTTTGGACGGTCATTGTGCGGGACTTGACTTTGATTCGCAGTGCTCGGCATGGTATGCGCCGCTCGCATTTCAATCTCCTCGCTGCGAGTGTTAACTTTGTTAGCCATTTGGAACAGAAGATGGAGATTAACAGAAAAAAAGCACAGTAGCGAGAGTCAAAGGGATGAAGGGTGAATAAGAGTCGCGCAAGTCATCAACGCCTTGAAGGCAACTCGTGGAGCCAGTCACATCGTATGCCGGCAACGGTCGCACCACAGCCCGCATCACCCAAGCTTTTCCCTCTACAGTAAGAGCCATCCACGTCTTCATTTAAACCCCTCGGTAGGTGGCAGGTCCATGCATAGAGCGGCAAGGGGAGGGGGATGAGTGCACAGGAATAAACGGGAGTGAAAAGACTGACTTACGTTGTGAGTAGAGGGCTCGGGGAAGATTTTCCCAACTTGGGGAACAGGCGCCGGAGCATCGTGTTGTTTTTGATTGGTTTCCAATTTGGTCGAGGATGGTAACTGAGTGTAACAAACTATTTAAATTCGAAGATTTGAGAAACCTAAGCCGACTCAGAGAGAGAGATTGGCTGTTTGTTGGGTGGTTGAGATAGTTGGTTAGGAGGAGAACGATGAAGTACAGTGGCGGGGGTATCAACAGTTAGGATATTTATCTAACAATCCTTTTGTTTTGTGCGGGAATCTGAGATTGATGCATGGAAGCCCTACATGGCAAAGAACTGGAAAGTTTCAAGGTTCTGAGAACGAACCATGAGCTGAGATGGAAGGTGCGATTCTCACCGCTATTGGAAAGCGCGGTGTTTCTGCTTCGTAGGTGAAGGATACCTACCGTAGGTACCTAGGTAGGTTGGGGATACATTCGCAGACGATTTGCTACCATTATGATGCAGTTCCCATGTACAGAGAGCCTTTGGCCGCCGGTTGGCCATTGTGACCTCGTGGAGTTGGGTTAGGAGGAGGAGGAGGATGAGGAAATGGATAGGGAAACCGGATAATATCTCCTCAACCGATTGTCCCAGATCAAGTAACTACCTAGAAGTAACCCAGTTCTGGTTTACGCATGTGAACATTTCGAGCCCTCACTCGGGCTGTATGCGACCTAGGTAGGTATTTGGACACACAGGCAGTGCGGTGGTTGATGACTTGGTGTTGTGCTCACCTGTTCAGCGCCGGTACTTTGTACTCCCGTCTGGTGGCGACAGCCGCCAACCATTCAAGCAGTCAGGCTCGCCGAGATGCAAGCTGCCCCCATGTAAGACAGTCGAGCCTTTCACTGTCCTTGAAATGCCAACTCGAGGTGACGAGGGTTCACAGTGCAACGCATGGCAGCGGGCCGAAGAGGGTTTTTGCCGCGGGGCCATGGACTCGACTTTCTTCAGTCCGAATCTGGTAAGGAGGCTGTCCACGGGATAATGATGCGGATTCCTGTTGGGTTTCCACCCCAGGACGTCGGGTGTTCCTCAACCGCTATTTCTCCGGGCATAGGTCCCGCCATTCGTCTTCTCAAAACACATCTGTCGGATGCACCGTTCCGTTCTCGAGTTCGGGTTGTTTGGAGGTTCACCAGTTCCCTCACAAGGATTCAAACTAAAAACCTAAAGTATTCTGAGGGAAGTATCGGATGCGTAGGTGACACCTCCGTTTGGCAGTCGAGGTATATACAGAATACATGGTGACGCGATCCGCAACGGCCAGTTCCACCCCACGTTCCCGCGTTCTGGTGACTCGGGAGCGGGCCGAGAAGTCATGAACTCCCGTCGGAGATACTATTTTCGGTTAGCGCAGGGTCGAAGACCCCGGTCAGGCACGTCTCATTATTCTTGGCAGGGCAGAAGCGTGTGGGTCTTGAGCTCCTCAAAAGAACCTCACTCGTCCCGTGGCATTACAAGACTGAACGGGTTCGCCGATGACGCAGTGGGATTAACCGGGAAGTTTTAACTAGCCTGGTAATATTTTCCGACTTTACGTGTAGGACACTATATAACGCAGGCAGTAACACCTTTTTAACTAACCTCGGCCCTTACACAGTAATGTCCGAGTTTTCACCACGGGGAGGTTACACGTCAATAGACCTGAGACAAACAAACTTCCTATACGTGCTTGCTGTGGCAGGTGGATAATCTATTAATGATGCAGTTGTCGTCAGGAATTTGTCGACTGCAGTCACGTCGACAGTTGCTGGATAACTAACTGTAACGGCATCTGGCTTCATTTAGATGACTTCGTTCTCAACGGGCATCCAGACCATCCGGGTCACTGATATCACTGGTCGCTCGGTACTTGGCCGGGAGGCGGCTTTGTGAAACCACGCCCGTCAAAGCTCGCGCCAATCAGTGTTTAACATGGCAACCTGGCGCGAGGAGCCGCCTGCCCTGCTGGACCGTTGCAACGACCAAGGGACGAGTCTTCGAGTGCGGTTGCTATTGCTAGAAATATCCAGCCCCCCCCAGCCATCGGAAACCACACACATTCCTGTATGGTGTCTCCCCGGGTTGTATGAACACTCACACTGGGCTGTCTTACCATCTGTACCTTACAAGGATCTTCATGGGTTGAAGGGGTGGGAACCTGAACCTCGAAACCACCAAACTGCAGGCTAACGGCCGAGACGAGCCCGGCACTTCAAGGTAGCGCAGAGGCCTCTCGCACTCATGATTCTAGGTCAGTGGGTGCCTTATCCGGCAAGAGACCAAACCGAGCTTGGTGTTGTCCGCCCTTCGGATTCAGCGAGTACTGAGGTACCTACATAAACCGTTGTTCTGCTCGGGTGATAGGTCAAACGAGGATTGCCCGATAGAATGGGATGGAACGGGAAGGAACGGGCTTGCCCACGGGTATGACCATTATCACTGAAATTTCTAAGTTCAATGACTTCCATCGACCACGTGTGCTTTCCCCATACGGAAACAATGGAAGTGAACCTGTAATGACAGTGTCAGCCAGTAAGGTAGTCCAGGTGCTCGAGTTAGTGCAAGTGAGAATGTCCTACTTTAGATTCAAGGCTCATAAAAGCTTGTTTTCCAAACCACGGGATTCTTCTCGCCTAAGTTTGTTTCTTTGGCGCTATGGTGCCAGCTTCGAAGTGCGACAACCCTCCATCCTTCTAACAATAACTTCTCTCGCTGCGAACCCGACCGACCGTCGTTTGGCCATTCTTTCAAAGCCGCAAATTCAGACTGCACCAGGGTCTCATCTCAACGATTTATCCTTTTACACCACCCACTCACCTTTCTTCAAGGAAACAACTTGGGGTTTCTGTCTCGCAGCAACCTTTCTCGGACTTTCCCAGACGTCCCGGCGAGTGCCACCATCAATGGCTTCACCTCTCGTCACATTCGGTCAAAATGTTTGAAGTTGACTGGACGGATTACGACTGCGAGCGCGTCGGTCAGCGGCGCGCGAGGAAGGAACTTGAGAGGGAACAGAGGAAGAACAATGATGCCAGCAGTGGTCACAGGACCAATTCGACCATATCGACTCGAACGTCCAGTTCATCTGACCAACATCGTCGGAAATTCTTTGGAAGCATTGGCAGGAAAAAGCCCGCGGCTTCATTGGGAAGTAATAGCCAGGAAGCCACTACACCAAAGTCAGAGTCGACCAAGGCGAATGGAGAATCCAAGCGCGGCTCACTGCGCTTTTCAGGGATCGCGGCAGTTTTGATGACACCATCCACGACCAACGCCTCGACGGGGTTGGAAAACAAACTTCCCAATATTCAACGCCCAAGTACGTTGAAAAGCACAGCCGATGCGATGCAGCCGGACTCGCTCCATTCCGATCGCTCATCGAAAGGTATCCGTGGTGGCCCAAACTCATTTTCACTGTTCCATCAACTAACACCGACTTAGAGTCCATGTTGTCCAAAATGACCCAGCTGACCATTCCGACGCTGGAATCGCAGGGTGACGGGTCGCCAACCGATGCGACCACCGCGATCAAGCTGGTTCAGGCGCTCGACGATAAAGGCTCCTTCGTCGACAAAGTTGTCGAGACAACCTACCACCAACATGGAGAAACCGACCCTTTCGTTTCTACTCTCGGAACAAAGATCACCACCGGCCCTAGGACGCCTCGGAAAACAAGATTGTCGCGGGTCATACACTCCACACCATCTCCCGAGGACAAGACCAAGTCAGCCTCCGAGCTCATCGACGACTGGTTCACGGCTCTGCACAGCCCAATGACCCGACCGGCCCCCAAGCCCGGCGGCCTCAACGGGACGATCCGGAGCGGTGGTGTCCTCCTCCCACCCAACGTCGTCCGCCGCACCCTGCCGGAGACGCCAACCCGCCCCTCGGCAAAAAAGAGCAACGTTTGTTTCGCGCCGCCCAACCCGTCCCCGATACGGTTTTCGGCCGACAACCCAGACGACTGGACGCCGGTGGCCCAGCGAAATCGGGAACCCTCCGACGCCGCTCGGGCACGACCAGCACGCGTCAAGGACCAAGGTTCCGAACAAGACGAGGAGGAGATCCTGCGCTTGATGGCTGCGGATCTGAAGGACATTCACATTCAAGAGGAGGTCGTTCGCGAGAGCCGAAGCCACCCGGCGGGAGAGTGAGGCCCCTCCTGCCAGATTCTCGGCGGGTTACCCCCGCGGAACTGAGCCCTCGCCCTGCTCTGGTGGGGAAGAAGTCGGCGGTTAGTTAGGGGGAGTGACCGGCGGTTTAAGTCATCAGAGACCTGTTTTGGGCGTAGGGTTTTATGGGCTTGGATTGGTTGCCAATCTGGGGCTGGATGTGCATGAGCATATCATGGGTCAATATCGGGCAGATAGATATTGGGCCGGGGAGAAGATCAGGCTCAAATATATCGGACGTCCCGAGGAGGAGGGGTACGACGCCCTGTGTCCCAGTGACCAGTGGCACGCAAATTGCATGGAGGAATCCCTCTCGAACGACAACGGAGGATTCAGTTTTGAAAGAGAGAGCGTGCCAGACTCCGAGCTTGTGGGGAGGAAGATGGCTGGTCGGGATCCTGGCTAATAACGCCTGTATTTAGAGCTAACCGACTCCCGCGAGGAATGAGATACTGACAGTCAAAGGGTCCATCGCCCCATAATCTCTGAAAAGCGCACTACAAATGGAACTCCCGAGTTTAGGACCCAGGTGACGTGCGTGTGTTCATGCTTAGCAAGTCTACTCCTCATTTCCCGGCAGGTTTCGCTCGGTCTCGTCTCGCCTGGTGCTAGAATTATTACATTACTTGTCGGGGAGTATTTCTTGACATTCCCCAACCCGTGGACTTGGACGTTGGCGCGTGAACTGTGGACCTACCAAACCAGATTAAGGTGTTTACATCTCTGGTGAGTGTGGTTCCTCTCGGGTTGATCATGCCGAAGCCAGGACAACAGTTCCCAGAGGCCCTCGGCTGGCTCTCTCATGCTCAACGCTTTGATGCCATGACCCCCCGAGCCGCAGCCCTCCGATAGCTGAGCTCGAGAGCCCGAGCGTCAGGGAGGCGAGAGGGGTGGAGAGCTTAGGGCGCGGCAGTTGTGTCCACGTCCTGGTGTCATGCAGGAAGTATGTCGGCAGGAGGGGGCAAGATGCTGGTGATGGACAAGAAGGCAGGGAAGAACTCATGATCTCCAATGCAGGAAGACCCAAACTCGGTTTGGCCCCGGTTCCATGGGGGCGAAGGACCTGAGCTAAACTCTCCTGTTACTTTTCTTCAGCTCGCAAGCACCCCTTGTTGCAGCAAGCATTTCAAGATCTACGGCTAGGGGAGCCGAACGGAGGCACATGATTTCTGCGCCTCTTGGAGCTCCGGCGGTATCTTCCGTGAGTAGCCTGCCAGCTTTTCAGCCGTGGTGGATCCCAATCACCAGTTAGGCGTCGAGGTGGCTTCACGAGTGCCGGGTTTTCGGGTCGACCGGCGGGTGAGGCTTGATGATTGTCACCGATTGTTGACGATTGGCGGGACATGGGTAACGACCTCCCTGCTGCGAGAGGAGCGTTCCCCCCCTCTACTGGGTGGCCCTGGAACGGCTAGCTATACTGGGGTTAGTGGGTGGGGCGAAGTCCCGAGCTAACAAACAAACCAGTATTGAACTGTACATTACTTTGGCCAGCCGATCAGGGCCTGTTACCCACAACCAACCAACGCTTTGATTTTTCAACTTCTTGATCCACAATCTTCTTCTTTTACAGGGCACTGAATCCTTCCATTTCCACCACGTTTTCTGGACCTCGCAACTGCACCCACGAAACTGGCTTAGCCCAGTGCCTCCCGCCAATCGAAAAATCGCCCACACGCCAGGATCTGACTGATTTTGTTGATTTTTGTTGATTTTCGTTGATTTTCGACAGGGCGCGCAAATCAGCCAGACCAGCCAGCCAAGCCCAGTCGACCATAAAAAGCCCAGATTTCGACAGTCAATTCAAGATGCCGCCCAGGGCACTGCAAAACGGCTGCACCAGACTGTGAGTCATCCTAAGCCTATTTAAGCCAGTACCCACTTTTCCTGACACGTTTCAGCCAACCAGACCAGCCGTATCCAGTTTACCCCGCGTTTTTTTCGTGGCCCGCACGCGCTACCAACCGCACCCGCCCGGCACCCGCAATCGCCATGCCCAGACAACTCCCCTGGAAAATCCAGCCTACAGATGGCGACCACCAACAGCCACTTGTAGTGGCCGACCTGTTGAACCCAGACAACGAAGATGGCCCAGATGAGGCCGAATTGGTCGATCATTTTAAAGAGCTGGAAGAAATCGACGATTTTGACTGCGATTTCGTTAGGGTTGACCGGCGCGTTACATTCGAAGACTGGCGCTATCGCTGGAACCAACGTATAGCCCAGAAGAAAGCTCTGGTAAATGTAGCTTAGCCAATATAGCCAGGTCAGTTTATCTAATCCTACAGCCATTTCAATAGCTAATCAAGACCTCTAGACCTTCCTTAGCTGGCTACTGTTGACGACTGCGAGTGGCCGGATGGCCAGAGTTCCGACGACGATGACGTATTCGACCCACCGCCAACACCCTCCCTTATATACGTTGACTGTAATAACCTTTCCTTTACTAGCGATACTAAATCGCTAGCTATATCGAAAGCCTCGGCTACAACTTAGGAAGAAAGGCTTATAGTCAAAGTACTTCGGTACTATATAGCAATAAACTATAGCGATATCGCTAAAGCTCTGAACCTTACCTATAGGTAGGTACAGTACGCTGTATACAGCCCTGTTTGCCTATACTATTCTGAAGTATGTGGCCGGGTCCCAGTTGTACCTTAAGAAATTAAGACGATGATTAACAGTATTATCAATATACTGTATAGTAGTAAGCGCTTCCTACTATAGGCCGAACTTCGTCGACTGTATCCAGCCCTCCAGGCCTATAGTACCCGCGCTATCTAGTCGGCTATGGAAGACGACGGTATCTATAGGGTTTTACAACCTATTTAGTAACCTCCTTTACCTAAAGCCCGGCAATTGTACCTTGAATTTACACTCAAATGGGCCGGCCTTCTTCTAGAAGAATGGGAGTAGTGGATTTGGTCTAATGAAACTTAGGTTACTGGGCTAGGTGTAGGCTGACGGTTTGTTACCCTCCTACCTGGCGAAGACCCCTAGGAGTTTGTAAAGGTTCGAATATAGGCTAACGGCTGGATATTCTGGGCTTGTTTTGCCGGAGATACTAAAGGAACCTCGGTAGTTTGGGAAAAGAAATGGGGAAAGATCACTTCGATTACCTACTAGTAACGGATTCTCCCTCTTTTCTACCAGTTTTGGATAGAAGATCCAGGTCGAACTGTATAATAGGATAACGCCCCAGCCTATAGGTCCAAATCCACTAAAGCATTTATAGTAGAAAAGTTCCCCGGGGCTATAGTAGTCGCCTAGCTACCCTACAGCCTAGATCTCAACCTTATTAAGCATATATAGGTTTGGATAAAGCATTAGCTTAAATATAAATACCTTTAACAGCCTACTAGGTTAGCCCTTAAGGCTATAGTTTAGGAGGTATAGGATATAGTACCGGCCGAATTCCTACTATACCTAGTCTATTCGATACTGAGGAGGCTATAGGCCGTTATTCGCAACTAGGGGGGTGTTAGGGGTCTCTGACTAAAGAACTAGAAACTAAACTCTTTAGAGAATTACTGAAGAAGATGCTGATATAGATATGGGCTGCAGAACTAAGGCGATTTATAGGCGAACAAAGATTTAATTCCTAGCTAAACACTCTTATTTAGACCTAAGGTTAGGTCTGGGGGGCAACTGGAACTAATCCTTAGGGAGCTTCCCTAGGATCGGGCTCGGCTATACTTAAAAGGCTCCTGTGACGAGAAGCAGATATTCCATGGGGTCAGGCCACCAGTCAATACAACTATAATATCGAAACTGAGACAAAGAGAAAAAGAGAGGTGGTGGGATCGCTAGCGATCGTTTCGTGGGGAAGTAGGGCGAGGCGCTATGCGCGCTAACCCCGATTGAGCCACAGTGCCATCACAGGCAACCACCTCTCGTGACAACCCCCCCCCCTCCACGAAAAAGCTCGTCCGCGAGCTTTTGCTCGGAAAAGGTCCATCACTTTTTCTTCCTGTTGGATCGCCTCAACGGCGCGCCCACCATGACTGGTTCGTTGTCATCCTCATGATCCGCCGCGAACTCGTCGCGTTCGGCCATTTCCAACCATATTTGCAATCGTGTGGGCGGGCCAGACTTGTCGGGGTTCGCGTCATGGAACTGTTTCAACGCTTCCGGCGAGTTCTTGAAGTCGGCCGCGGGATACCATTCGGGGTCGGCTGCCCAGCCCTTCCAACGGACTTGGTACTGCAATTTTCCATAGTAAACACGGCTCGCCAAGAGTTGTTCGACCTCCCATTCCATGTCTTGATTCGGACCAACCTCTTCGGCATCCGGGGACTCGGGTGCTTGGCCAGGAAGAGGGTTGTTTAGGTGTAATCGTAGTCGGTCGGGAGGGAACGTATCGGTTCCCTTCCACGAAGCTGGGACTTCCAAACGGTACGCGTGGCCAACCTTCTCGATGATGCGGAAGTGCTGCCGCGTAACGGGGAAATCGAGCTTATCGCTGGGTCTGCTCGTCATTTCGGTGCGCTTGATGATCACGACGTGGTCGTCGACGTCGAAATCTGGTACGCGGCGATGTCGATTCGCCTGCTCTGCTTGCTTCTCCTGCGCTTTAAGGATGTTGGACCGCGCGAAGTCCCCAAATTCCTGGATCTGGCGCGCCCTCCGCTGGGCCTCTTCGCGATTGAGACGCTCTTCGTGCGGCAGATCTGTCAGTCCGGTTCGTGATTCCCAGTCGAATGGTAAGGGCATCGCGAACCCAAACATCACTTCGTGGGGCGACAATCCGGTGCTGTCGTGCGGGAGGCTCGACTGTACCGCGTCAAGAGCTGGGATTGCCCGGGACCAGTTGTCTTGGTAATGGCTTACAAACGGTCGTAACCGTTGGTTAATATACTGGTTAAGGTTCTCGACTTGGCCCGCGGTCTGCGAATGACCGGGTGTGGCCAGTTTCCAATTGATCCCCAGAATCTTTGACAGTTCGTTGGTAAAGTCGGCTCGAAACTGCGGCCCCTGGTCACTGATGACCTCCATCGGGAGACCGTAGACTCGATACGGGCCTTCATAGTACATCTTCGCCGCATCGCGAGCCGTGGCTCCCTTCGTGCAGGGAATAGTCCATGAAGCTTTCGTGAGGCGGTCAATCATGACCAGAGCGTTGTCAAATCCGTACTTGTCTTTCGGAAGTTCGTTGAAATCCATCACAACGCTCTGCCATGCTCGCTGCGAGGGGGGGATTGGGTGTAGCAATCCGGGGGTCTTGTCTCTCGGGTGCTTCGCGGCGCGGCACACACAGTTAGCGATATACTGATCGATATCGCTGCCCATTCGGGGCCACCAGTACCGGGTGTTGATCAACTTGCGCGTCTTGTTTATGCCCGGGTGGGCGGTCGTCAAGCGCGAGTGTGCCTCAGTAATGATGCGGGTCCGCAGATGGTTGACGGCTGGGACCACCAATCTACCGCTCATCAACAGCAAGCGGCCATCCAGGAGCG